CCCCCGCCTGCGCCCAGTTGTTTGGCTACAGCAGCGGGTCCAGGTAGCGCTCAAGGCCTCGGGAGAAGGGTGCCCTGCCGGGCCGCCCGCCTGCCTACAGCTCGAGCTCGGACTCCCTACGGGCTCCGAGGCGCCCCCAGCCCGCCCTGTCCCCAGGGCCGGGCCCGAGCGGCGGCAGCGCCCGTGCAAGTCCCATCAGGTCTGCTCACACTTCACACACTCACACACATACCCCGCCCCTCCACTCTCTCACTCACTCACACTTTCTGCTCACACCCCGCCCCCTTCGCGCCCCAGACCCGGGCGGCGCCCCCCGCAACCTTAAAAAAAAAAAAAAGCAAGCTTATACTTAAAAAAATCTTTTGGCGCCATATTAATGACGTACTTAAAATTTGCCATTTCTCCCTGCGTCAAAAAGACGTTTCTTTGCAAATAACAGCCTGAAGGCGACACTCGCGGAGGGAACGAGGTTTGCACTGAGCACCCCGCCTCCCAGGGCTCCAGCGCTGAAAGACCCTCGCCCTAGGCCCTGCTCCTGAATCGCTGGTTTAAAAATGCGACTTGAATAAAACGCGTGGCGTTTTACAACGCCAGAAGTGAGCAGAAAGTGCTGGCAGGAGCGGAGGGGAGGGGCGCGCGCGAGTCTGGGGGAGGGGGCGCGGCCCTCCTCCCCCACCCACAGCAGATGAACGTAACATCCCGGGCGGGGGAAACTTGAAATTGTGGGCGACCTGAAGAAAGGAGGGGCGGTCCGTAGAGAGGGTCCCTCTCAGGTTCATCGCCCCCTCCCCCCGCCCGGTGCCTCCTGGCACCCAGCTCTGCCCCGCATTTCCGGGGGGTGGGGAACGCAGTGATGGGTGGGTGGCTGCACGTTCTGGCCCCAGTAGGAGTTTGTCCCGGGGTATCCCCTTCCCTTTGCTTGTCCTTCCCATTCTCCCTAAAGGGTTAAAAACCGAGGGGCAACTTCCAAGGGCTGGCACTTGGCGAGGAAGCGGGGCGCCCCTCTCCCCACCCTTCGCCTCCTCGCCCCTCCTCCTCCGGCTCCACTTCCCGACTTGACCTTGTGGTGCACAAACAGTGCGCTCGGATCCTCGCAGTTTCTGGAAGAAGAGCTTGCGCTCGCCAGGCGGGCGGACTGTCGGGCGGCTCGCGGGCGGTGGCGGGGCCTTGGGTCGGTTCCCGGAGCCGCGGGCCACACCCACTCAACTCGTTGCGCCCGCCGCGCTCACCTTCTCTCGAGGAAGGAGTAGGGCTGGCCTCCTGGATGGGGAGGAGTGAGGGGCAAGCTGCTGCCTTCTCCGGATGCTCCCAACTGGGGAGGGGGTGGTCTGGTCTCAGGCGGGGTTTGGCGTGGGGGAGACCAGGGAGCCTGGCCCAACATCCCAAAAGCATCATTGCCAACTTTTTCTTCCCCCTCCCTTTTGGCTGCCCCTCAAAGATGATCGAATAATGTTTTCAGCTCACCTTTGGCTTTGAAGGCACATAGGTGAGTTGTGAACTGGGACAGGAACCGCCTCCCCTCTCCAAGACTGAAGATTGTTTATTCTTTCTTTCCCTTCCACCCTCTTCCATGGAAAGATAGATATTCAATTTACATAAGATGACATTTACATGACAATTAAGATTCCCGATGGAATGTTGTGAACACATTTGCCTATAGGAGAAATAAATCTAATAATAAACAAACTCATAATAACAGCACAAACCATCTGACAGTGGATTGTCTACACAATCAAAAGGGAGTTGATGGATGCTGAAATAAGCACATTTTGCAACAAGAAAGAAATAGGAGCTCACAGGGAGTCAGTGCAATATTTCTCCTCCTTGGCCTTCATTCACAAAGTCTGGGGAGGCTTGTCTGGCAAGACTGAGGGGCTGGGTATCACCTCCCAGTTAGACCCGGTTCTAGCTCTCAGTGGTAAGTTGGTAGAATTTGCCCAAGCCCAAGCTCAGTGCCTGGAGACAGATGTGGTAGGCTGTGAGCATGTAACAAAATGGTTAAATATTTGGGTTCTAATCCCGGCCCTGCAGTTCAGAAGCTGCTTGATGTAGGCAAGTGAATTCATCTCGCTGGTTCTCTTTCTCTTCTGTAGGATGGGATGGTGACAGGGTTCCCGAGGCTGTGTGTGTGTGTGTGTGTGTGTGTGTGTGTGTGTGTGTGATATATGTGTAAAGCAGGGCCTGACGCAGTGCACAATGCACGTTAGCACTTTCCCTGGTGCTTACCTTTTAGAAAGGTGAATGCACCCTCTGCTCTCTGAACACTCTGAACACTGAAAAACTGGGGACAGTGATTTACGTCTTACCCTCTATGAGGACATATACAAGATCTCCCAGTGTGGGCAAAAGGGAAGGCCAGGAGAAAAAGCTGTGATAGATGGTCAAGGACTTCATGGTCAAGGTTCAGATAGCAGTCTAGCCATGCATCTGAGGTGGGAGTGAAGGCACCAATTTACAATGGCCCAGTCCAAGGGGACTGCTCTGGTTAGGTCTAGCTACAGAGGGCTTACATGCAGGAGAGGACTGGACAGGCTCCTGTTAGCCATCAGGATCTCAGCATCCTTGGCAAGCAGTTAAAAAGTGACTTAGTGAGATGGAAGTTGGAGGGATGACCATTTATAGAGCACCAGCTCTGTGCTGTGCCCTGTGCGAGCCATCCCATCACAAAGTCCCATCTTATCTATCTATTAGTAACTTACCAACAGTCACATAGCTAGCAAGTGGTGGCCGAATTGGCACCAAGTCCAGCTGACCTTGAGAGCTATGTGTTTTCCATTTACCACACCAATACTACTAAAAAGTATTAGCATTATTGGTTTGATTGGAGTTGGGGGACTGATTGCTATACAGGCGAAAAAGAATTGTATGGGCAGCGCTTTGCCTGTGAGGTGACTCCCTGAGTTTGGGTATGACCCAGGTGCCCTAAAGAGTCCTTGGAAGGTATTTCTGGTTTAGGACTGCAAGCTCCATCAGAAACCTTGGGTTCCCCACAGCTCTCTGCTACTGTTTAAGGTTAACCTTGGAAATGTTAACAGAATGATAGCCATAAAGCTAATTATAACTCTTTAATGTTTATTAAAAGTCTCACAAATCATTAACTTTTTACAAAAAAAAAAAGAGAGAGAAGAAACAGAGTCCTTGGAAATACAATCATTCATTTTTTTCAACAAATATTTATTGAGTACCTCCTGTATGCACCATTCTAGGTGCTGAGGACACAGTACAGACATGACAGACAAAAATGCCTTTTTTCATGGAACTCACTTTTTAGTGGAAGGAGATACACAATTAAAAAAAACAATTTTAAAAATATTATATTTGAAGGTGAGTAAGTGCTATGGAGATAAGTGGGAAAGGGCGGTAGGGAAATGTGGGGATACAATTTAAAAATCTTCAGGGAAGACTCACTGAGAAGGTGGCGTTTGAGTAAAAGGAGGTGAAGGAGTGAGCTATGAGGGTTTATGGGGGAAGGGCATTCTAAGCCCAGCGTTCTTAACACCTCCTTCCAGAAGTCTGAGGATAGAATTCAGGGGTCTTCACCTTAGAAGGGAAAAAAAGATTACAACTGTATTTTCACTAAAATCCAGCATGTTCTTCAATTACGAATGCAGACAACAAATCACAGTGATATTAGCAGCACCTGAGACTTGTTGCTAGTAGACATCACAGATATTTTCATATCACATTATAGTGGTTGCAAATATCTCAAAATATCATACTACTACTTCAAAATTATGCTGCCAGCTCTTGTAATTTAATGAATTTGAAGAAATATATATTACTGTATTACACATTTAAAAATATTTTGAGTTGTATTTCAATATGATTAGTTTTCTTTACAATTATTAATCCTATGAATTTGAAGATAATATGCTCAGAAGTCCACAGGCATCGCAAAGTGCTAAAAGGGTCCATGGCACAAACTACAAGGTTGAGAACCACAGTGTCTATAGGGAGACCAGCAAGTGCAAAGGTCCTGAGGCAGGACTGTGCTTAATATGTACATGTGCAAATAAAAAATTATATGGGCATTGTTAGAAATTTGGCTTTTGCTAGGAGTAAAATGGAGGGTTTTGTGCAGAAGAGTGACATAATCCGACGCTGGATTTTACAGGTTATTCTGCTGCTAGATGGAGGACAGACAGAAGGGGAAAAGGCTGAAACAGGAAGACCCGATAGGAGGTCACAGAAATAAACCAGGTAAGAGATTATGGTAATTTGGACGAGAGTGGTAGCAATGGAAAAGTAAAATTCTGTATATGTTTTGAAGATAGCTCTGACAGAAATTGTTGAGGGGGTCTGAGAAAACAAGGAGTCAGAGATGAGGACAAGAGTTGTGCCTTGAGCCAGTGGAAAGATGGAGTTGTCATTAACCGAGATGGGGAAACTGGCAGGAGTGGGTTTTAGGGAAGGATAAGGGGCTCAGCGTGGACATGTTAAGCGTTTTGAATAAGCACCTGATCATGCTTGATGCGCTTGGCCTTGAACCACACTTTGTAAAACACAGAGAGCTTATCCACATGGTACCAAACATTGACCTGGCACTCAATAATTGCCCATGTGACAACAGCTGTTCTTCCAGGGTCCTTATTAGGAACAAAACTTCTTTCTAATAATCTGTAATTTATGTCCAGATCAGAGGTCCAGCATACTTAAGAACATGGAATTGAGAAAATAGCACGAGAATCATTCAATATTTATTCATCGAATATTTACTGAGTGCCTACTGTATTCTAGACAGTATTCAAGGGCTGGAGAGACTGAAAGTATCTGACTCAATAATTTGTCTGAATCATCAAGGTAGGCAGAAGCCCCAGATGTAGTTAGCCACATTCTCTAGAAGCCCATCTCTGTGCCAGGTGAGAAGCCCTATGTTCCATCACTAGCTACTTAAGACCATTCTTGTTCATAGATAACATGCATAGAAATCACCTGGAATCTTGTTCAAGTGCAGATTCTGATTCATCAGGTCTGGGGTGGGGCCCGAGAGCCTGCATTTCTAACAAGCCCCCTGATGCTGCTGATGCTGCCAGTCTACAGATGACACTTGCAGCACAGGTTTAGAGGGGTAGGAAAATGGGATCACAACACTTGCCCTCACCGTAGAGTTTCTGGAGAATTCTGAAGGGGAAAAAAATGAAATATGGGAAGATTACACAGATGCAGGTGAGGTTTACTCACACTTTCCTCTGTCTCCTCTGTTTCTGGAACCCCATCCTTACCCTCCCACATACAGTCAGTGGCATTAGGTGGCCCCCTCTGAGGGAGGGAGAGCATTCATTCTGTTGGTCATTTGGTAAATATTTGCTGGCTGTCTACTCTGTGACAAGCCCTCGGCAGAGCACATAATTTGGCATTCACGAGAGGACAAATTCAGCAGCGTCTGCCTCCTAGGCTCCAGGCAGGGGCTGCAGCTGGAGTTTGGGACAGAGAGGAAAGCTGCCCAGGGCTGTGTCTGTGACTGAAGACACTGCCCTGGCAAGATCCAGCCTTGGCTCTTTCTGTGGTGCCCTATAAATGCCTGCCTGGGAGAGGCACCCCTCTGGAGCTCTTGCCAATTGGTTTAGAGATGGTACTGACCAGCCCCAGGAGATGTCTGGATGATGTGCCAGCCAGGCCACCTGTCCCTTCTCAGACTCTCAGCCCCAGCCCAGTGGTCACAGATGGCAGAAGGCAATGGAGATCCCTGGCGTTTCTAAATGCCTCCCCGGAAACTGGCAGCAGACAGTAACTCCAGCCAAGGCAGGGACCAGCTTGACTAGAATCAAAGTGTGAGACGCCCCATTCGGAGGTGAGGGACTTGGCCTAATCCAAGAACCACCAAGAACCAGAGGCACTGGCTCCAAGTCAAGTTGAACAGTTCAAGCAAAGCTCTTTCACCTTTTCCAGGGTTTCTGATACATCGAAGAAAATCTCCTCCCATCTGGCAGTCTTACAAAGACCCTCCCATGCATTTACTGATGAGTTCATAGCCACGCTGGAGGTAACTTGGTTTTATCAGAAATAGCACGCA